CTATTTATTAAGATTCTTTATTAAGATGGGAAGACTTTGGCACATTTCAGCAGAATTTAACTGAACAGAAACTGGCAAACTCATTGGTAGGTTAGAACTAATGCCATTAATTACTTTCAAGGTGGTGCAAATAATGAGAAACCAATCAGGTTTTGCACAGGTTCTCTGCGGTTCCCCGAAAACTCAGAAAGCACCGTAAAAGCATCCACCGAGTGCCTAGCAACAGCTCGGAAAGCTGAGAAAATGCTTAGTCACATTCATACCACAGGATACGGAAGGAAGACACAGAATTCAAAACTCGCCTCTCCAGTAAAACGCTGAACTCGGGTAACTTCCTCAAAAGAGATCTTTCAGAGGAAACCATACAGATAAAAAGGCGCACAAGGAGCGCACGAAGGACTGGAATTTTCTGGTGGCTCTGTCTCATGCAAGACCCTTTCTCCTCATCAAGGCAGCAAGTCCTCCCAGCGCAGTGCCCTCCTTTCCTGGGATCCTGCCCTTCCCAGAGCGGCGCGGGCACCAATCCTCGTATCTGGTGAGGCAGAGAAGGGCAGCCCTCCCGGAAAGCTGCCCTCTTTGTCCTAGGCAGGACTGAGACCTGGCAAGTGTGGTAAAAGCACAGTTTTCTCAGTCAAGGAACTAGACTTTCTCTCTTGGGCGTGTGTCGAAGCTAAAATAAAATGCCCTGGAGGCATACAACTCCCCAAGGGAGCTTTCTCTCATGAAGAAAGGGTCCCCTAGGACCCATATATTGTGCTGAAGCACAGAGGGGGAAGAGTGGGCTCACAAAGGCTCAACATCACCCCAGCAACTTCACAGCACTTCAGGTTTGCCAGCCCATGAGGAGAACACAAGCAAAACACCACCAGAGAAGCTCCACGCCAGGCTAGGATCCCCACTGCCAAGCTGCCTCCTTATCCTGTCTTTTGTGACTGTAGGCACCATTCGCAAACTTCAAGTTGATGGATTACATCCTAAACGGGGTCAAAAGAAGCACGAAACAATTAGTGACATTAGTCTGGCGCTGCCCTCTGACTGATCCACTAATCCTAGAGCAGGGGTGACACTCAACAATATCGAAAAGCAACACGCTTTTCAAAAGACAATCCCCCCTGTATATAACCAACTTCTGAAATGCACTAATACGAGATAGTAGTAAACTAAATAGTTAAGAAATTAGAAAGACAACTTGATATTTACAGCAATTGAAGTAGCATTCATAGTTGTATTTGCCGGATTAGAGTCACGAGGACACTAATTCTCATCCCTAAAAAGTGAAGCTGATTGCCAGCCGGGATTATGAAAGAATTCCCTCTCTCTCCTTTGCCTCACAGGCTACCAGAGTACATCTGGTGGGTGCTGATTATCTCCCTATAAAATGTTATAAGAAAGAATAATTACAGTTGTTACCATTGGAGAAGTCTAATGGGCCGGGTCAATGATCTTCTATTATGGCGTAACAACTCTTCTGAATAGTTCAATACTTCAAATAATGGATAAAATAATCATAGATGCTTATATTTGTTCTTCTCTCCCCCTCTATCGTCCTCGCCTAGAACAGTTCAAAAGGTAAAAGCAACATCTTCATTTTCACAGATTCTTTACTGTGTCAGCTACACAGAGCCTGGATACATTTTTATGGCACAAACATTCCAAGAATCTATTCTAGGTCAACAGCTTCTGCTGTCAAGATCACTGAAAGCGTTCAGAAGGCTCAAAAGAGAAAAATAAACCACTAAGTACCAGTATGATGCGAGCTCTGCAGAGAGGTGTCGCCTGCCTTTATTGCAAAGAATGCAGAAGCAGCTTTAATGTCACCCTCTTCATGAATGCCCTTTCTTTGCAACTGATCTCACACATTAAACCCAGCTGCAAAAACTAGCGTGCGCTTTGACTAGAGGAAGGACAAAACCATCGTGTATTTGTAACATTACAGTTACAAAGGTGAAGTAACGCTCACGAAACGCACGCAAACCTCATTGCGCGCAGGACGCCGGGCAGAAGAAAGCTTCACATAGTTTATGCTATCACCACAAGGATAACCACGCTTCTTAAAGCGGCTCTGTAAACCCCATTAAACTGGCACTATCAAACAGGAGACACGTGAGCAAGCATGAACGCGACCTCTCCTGCGGAGGAAGGATTCGTGAAGCTGCCTTGCCTTGAATCAGCGCGCAATCGTACGTTGCCTACACGCCTGTAGCTCAGCTGGGACACCCAGGAGCTGCAGAAGGTATCAGTGTAGCAGCAACCTTTTCCACCGCTCCTGCCTCCTGCAGCCACCCGGATCATTCCTGGCAGCTGCCGTGGGAACGGCGCACTCAAAGGTCAGCAGCACGGCCAACAGGCAGGAGCCGCTGGCTGGGGGCAAGAGAAGGATTGGCCCCAGAAGATCCTCTCACGTTGTCCCTAAGGTTCCAGAGCAGTTCAGGTGCAGAGGTGAGCGCTCTCCGCCAAAGAGGGTGGAAACGAGGGATTTCTCCATCCCAGCTCTGCCGCAGGTGTTAAGCAGGAAAGAGGATCTGCCAGAAAACAATTTTTCTCTCCACAAAACAAGCAGCAGGCAGGGCTCTTTCACTGGACGACAGAAGAAGAACGGTCAGCAAACTAAAGATACGTCATCTTCTTTGATATCTAAATTAATCAAAACTAGCTCTCGCTGACTTTACAAGGAAATGTTTAAACCTACAGTGAAGCCAAAACATCAAGTATCCTGAAAGCTCTGTTTCCACAAACCAGCCTTCTGGAAGCATTTCTGCCTTGGAGTGGCTAAAAGCAGTGCAGATCAGCCACATCAGCAGAGCATCAGACACCGGTCTGGGACCTGACCAGGGGCCAGGCGGGTGCCTGGGTCACGCAACGCTTCGCCATCTCGTCGGGTCTCGCGCCCAGCCTACCACAAACCAGGAAAAAAAAAATGCTGCGTTTCTCAGATGGCCTGCTTAAAGCAGAGGAGTCATCTTCTGAGGGTTTGTGGGTTTTTTCCCCACAAAGTTTTAAATCAAAGAAAAATAGGGGGAGTTGCACCAAAGTCTACTCGCTCCTTTCCTCTACTTAGACACACACATTAGTACGATGCTGCTATTCACACAGTACACCGGTGTGCACTCCCGTTCTTACATAGCTGCTTTATTTAATAACAATTTAATACTATTTTACATTATAACTCATATTATAGTGTATTTAGATTTTTATGTTTCATTCAATATATTTTTTTTTTTTGTCCAGTTGTGACACCAATGCACTGGATTGTTCCTCCCATGAAAGCTCAGTATCTGCAGCTCACTTACAAGAAAAGGGCAGAAGCTTACACATCTCTCCTTGATAGATGAGCCCCGTCAGAAGCCAATGATCCCAGCACACAGGACACACAGCGCACCTGACAACACAAGCTCAACAGCAATGAAGAAATACTTTTTACAGCCCACTATTTTGTGAAAAAACCGTCTAGACTGCAACCATTCTGACTAACTTACTTCCTGCAAGAAGATTCTGGGAGCGTTCGGTGTAAAAACTCTTATGTTTCCTCCTTCCTTCAAACACACGATTTTGCTATGGAAGCAAGAACTTGTGCAATAATAATTACATGAACTAAGCCAATTATAAATGCAAGTAATACATATGTTTTATGTATTTTTTTTTTGAGCTAAAATATTAAACACAAAATACACTTGGCATTTATTTTGCGTACCGAAACACAGGAAGACATTATTCTGTGTAAGAACGATTTTAAGCTCAAAGGTGTCAACTCTGCATAAAATCTAATAAAGTACAAACTAATTTTTACAGTTAACTCAGTAGGAACACTCACAGCAAGGGTTGAGAGTGCAGAAATAGCACCGATGTAAAACTGTACTAAAACTATAAATGTTACACAAAAAAATACATTCACCTGTAATTAAATTCGAATTTCTTACAATGTTTCTCCTAAATAACCTCTCCCTGACCAACTACCTACAAGACTCTTTGCAGAATCCACATCCCAACATTTTTCCTTAAAGGAACAGCTACGGAATTACAATGGAAACGCGCACGCCAGCATATAGCACCACCACCTGAGGGGGACTGCACCAATCGCCACCAGTAGTTTAATGACGGTTCAAAAGATGTCAGCCCTGAACTCATTAATTAAAGAATTCGGCTGTATTCCCTAGAGAAGATTTGGAGAGAGAACCAAAGGATGACTACAGAATGTTTGTTGCTTTGTAAGGCACCAAAGGTATTTATTTTGCAGAGTTCAACCTTTACTGCAATTCATAAGCTATTACACCGGAAAGCTGTGCGACTGCATAGATTTTTAAAAGGCAAACCAGCTCACTTCTAGATAAACACTGTTCTTACTAACTTACAAACACTTTACAGCCTGGGATTTATAGTAGTTCAGAATTTCACTTGCAGTGTATTTTACGTTCTCTAGCCTATCTGTTATCTTATGGACTTTTACAGGGATGTCTTTCAATGAACCACAACAGAGAGAAACCCAGAGATGGCGCAGGGACTCAGGCGGCTCCAGGAGTGAATACTGGGATGTTACTCTCTCCAGTTCAATAGCTGCTACTATTGCACCCAGTGCTCTCTTCTCCTCTGCGCTGGCATCTGCGAGCACCAGAGCGCTCCCTGCCCAGTCTGGGGGCAGGAACGGGTCTGCTCTCCCTGGTAGAATTGCCGGAGGAGATCTGTGGCAGCACCGTTTCCATCTGACCAACACCCACGGCCTCGGTCATTCCAGCAAATACAAACACTCTGAGGTTCGGGGGGATCTACACCAGCAGAGAGTCTTCCATGTGCAATTTCACCTTATTGCAGTGATCACATTTTAAGTATCTTAGCCAAAACAAAGATCTGTAATAACATAGCTCATCACCGTCAGATGATAAAAGCAGACAAGACAAAAAGAGGCCAAAAATCCCCGGTTTCACCCAGGCATGCTGACGCTCCTGGGAAAGAAGCCAGGCAATCTTAAGTATTCAATCACATTTTTTTAATTCTAAAACACTCACCTGACTTTCCCTTTGGTGTTCCTAAGAACAGTTGCAGCAAAATTTTGCGTAACACCAACCAGACTGATGCCATCAACTTCCACAATTTGGTCGTTCACTTGGATCCTTGCAGGGAAAATCACAAATATATAAACAATTGAGTGAGCCCTGGGTGAAGTTTCAACAAAACTTAGCACAGAGAGATCTTTTTAGTTTGATTTTAAGCAAAGACTTTAAAAAAAACCTCGATCATAAAATGATTGAGGTAAATATGAAAAATGCATCATTCCTTGCACGCAGGCATCTCATAAATTCAGCTTCAAAGCTACCATTAGAATTAATAACATCGATCTTCCAGTCACTTTCCTTGAACATAAATACAGCAACACAAACTCCTGAATTTGTCATATGACTTAAATTAAATGAGATACTTGAACGGTTCTTGTATCATTCTTTCCTAAGTCAATCTTGAAAAACAGCATAAGGCATAGCTCTGGTATTTCATGCTAATGGAAAAAAAATGCGGTATTTAACTAAAACAACCTGCTCATCTGCAGAGAAATGAGCTTGTGCATCAGACTTAATCATGACATACCCTCTTAAAATATTTCATCTAACTTGTTCCAAAAAAGATGAATTCCCAGTGTGTGATCTTGCTGCACACTACAATAAGACCTCGGGCTGTTTTAATGAGGACTCTCTCTTTGAAACCAAACACATATTTACGGTTGATACATTGTTTGATGCAGGAAAAGTGAGGTGGAATAAAAACCCCGCTGCTTTTATCCGAGGCAAGTACTGCTATGAAATCCCTAGAGCAGGCACTGGACTCATCTGGATGACAAATGCTTGGAAGGAGGACTGCTATGCTAAAACATCCTCTGGAAATGCACGAACTCCTCTAGTTTCAAAAATTAAAAAAACCAACCAAATCACATCCAGAACAAGCCAAAGGGAGCAATTTTCAAGTACTTACATGGATGCTACTAATGCAAACAACACAGTTGATAAAGGAACAAAGAAACAGCTCTGCAAAAATCCCATCTAAGTTATATGAAAATACCCAAATTCAAGTATTTGATATCTCCGCGTTATCTTAGTGATAAGACTTGTTTTCAAAGAACAACAGTGGCTTCAAAAGAGGGCTGAAGCATTCTGACTCGGAACATTAATCTGTCAGGTCTGCAGCAACGCTCTGCGGTTCCGCACGTGTTCAAGCAGCATCTTCAGTTCTTTGGACTTCAGCGATGAGCAAGAAATATAAGATTTATTCTCTGGCAGGCTCATACCACAGAACGCCACTGTGTTCTGGGCAGGATCTGCCTTCTGCGTACAGGAAACCTTGAAAACAAAAATCTTTTTGACATCCTATAAACTCCTATCTTGAAAATCATATCTGGCATTTTAATATCAGAATTTCATTTCAATTTTCACGGGAATATTTCATAAATACACCAATCACATCAACATTTATTGTAACTCAATATTGTAAAAATGACTTGTTTGGGTTTTTTTCACTTTAGCGAACATGAGATGCAGTCAGACGGCCGCATGCGTTCCAAGAAAAGTTTAAGGAGATGGTGCTCACAGAGTGGGAAGCTGTCACCCTCTTGGCCGAAAACTAAATGTTGGAAGAACAGATCCCTTTTTGATGGCAGTTCAACTACAACCCTGTAGAGACGTCACGGTGCAGCGGGCTAACAATGTCCACAGCGATACGCAGTCAGTGGTATTTCAGGCGACGAAACACCACGTTAAGAGAACCGTTGCCGTGACTTTGGAAGGGGCTCTGTCTTCACCTACTGCACTTCAGTCTGACTCCTTTTGTCCTTCAGGCACATTTCCTATCTCCTTCTTTCTCGTTTGTACAGCTTCTATATTAATTTCCAACTCTTATTTTATGGCCATTGTTCTCCAAATCTCTCTTTGTATACATACATATATATACACATAAACATACGCACATATCAAACAACATGCAATTAAGGTAACTGTCATTCAAATTAGACAATTACATGTAATTCAAAAAGAATTTTCCTGCCCAGACCAAAACACTCCCAGAGCCATATTCTCCCGGCCGCCTTCCTTGGGCATCTCCACTCCCACTGTAGCTGCAGCCTAGCCCTAACCCCCCCGAAAAGCCACCCCAAGCAACATCTAGACCAAAATATTCTCCCAGCCACATTCTCTGGGCAGCCTTTCCTGCAGAGCCTCCTCCCTCAGGAGCTCTAGGCATCCTCTGCCTCTCAAATCTAATTTCAAACAGGAATGAAAAATTAGGCTCAGGGTGGCAAAGCCTCAATTATAGACATTTAACTGGTTTTATTGTTAATGACATTGGTAATTCTATTATTTTCTAATGCTCACGACTTAATTCTCTGCCTAAGTGAAGCAGCACTTACTGAAGTAGCAACTACAGAAGTGAAGCAACTAAAGTCAAATAAACTACTTGCATAGTTGCTGCTCTGTACGATGAACTAAAAAATTGAACCTGGGCAGAGACAACATTTTGAGTATTTTTCAAGTTGAGAACTGTGTAATGTTTCAAAACTGTTGTTCTTGGTGTTATCAAAATACTCCAAAACGTGCATGACTCATCACCACAATAATTTGAAAGAGGCAGTTATGAATTCATCCAGGAAAGGATTTTATTTTTCATATTCAGTCTAATGTTTGGTTTCAAATTTTACGCTCCATTAATAATCTCTCATTACTTATCAACGTTATCTGCCCTCAGATTTATCTTGAATACCCCCCTCGGTTAAATACTGCTGCACAACCCCTTTTGAGATGACAACTAAACACTACCTGCTTGTTTGCAGAAACATGCATCAAGCCAGTGGTGCTCAATCACTGAGAAACTCCTTTGGACAGAGTTTGAGTTTCCGTGGGAGGTGAGTTCTTTGTATCACAATTTGATGGGGCTTGCAATAAAAGACGGGAGTCGTCCTACGGATGCTGTAATGTTTTAATTTGTCGTCTCAGAAAAGCCTGGCTGAAGATTGCTATGCGGTTATTCAGAACGTCTGAAGAAATACAGTTTTATTTTCTGCTAGGAGACTTTTTTCGCTATCAAGCGTTAATGATTAACTTGGCTTTTCACAAGGATGAAGTTAACAGGACCCTTTACAGTTGATGTACTTTATTGCAGAACTGGCTGCTCCTGACCGAGGGGATTACATACCCCTTTCCCAAGTGAATGATCAGTCAGGCTCTCAAAGAGAAAAATCAGAAGGCTATTTCTCAGCTGACTGAGCATTCAGCCAGTTGAAAACCAACACAAATATTGGACTGGTCACAGAAAGATACGATTTTTTTTCTCAGCCGGCAAGCTCCCTTCAGATGCCATCTAGGGAAATGAAAGAAGAGGCTTGTGATTGAACATTAACTCCTGTAGCCCACTCAGATGAATAACGAGAGGAACAGGAGACACAGATGATCACAGAGCAGTAGGGAGTGACTGATTTTCAACCAGAGAATTTCACACCGAATGCCAAGCGTGAGCTTAATGCCTTCTGGCTGAGAGCAAGCATACCTTTCAGAAAAAACGTGTACTTAAATTTGAAGTAACGGATGAAGTCATGACACCTTGAGGTGTCAGCTTCTTCACTTCCCTCCATAATTTTTAAGGCTGTGATAACTCAGTACTTGGCCTTCAACCTAGTGTCTTATTGCCAAGCTCTGTAAAGACACCTGTGAGCCCAAGCCGGAAGAGGGTCTGCTTAAGTAGTTTCAGCGCAACATCATTAAATCTTGCAACCCCCCGTTGTGCAGAGCCTTCGGATTTCACTTGTGTGGCATTTCCCCAGCAGAACATCCTTTTGCCTGGCTGAAAAGTTACAGGCGTTCATCAACTTTTTGGAGTTTATTCTTACTCCATTTACCTATGTTGATGTTTGGTATTATTTATAACTAATATAACAAATCACTAATGGTTAAAAATAGAAGTAGAGAACGTGTATAAGTGGACTTAACTCCTAATGCATCAGGTAAGTAATACTTTATTCGCATGCAAATTTACAAAGGGTATGCACTGGGACAAAAAAAACCCCAAATTATATGAGTTGGAAGATGTTTAAGAACATCTTTTCATTATTAAATGATTACATAGTAAAGTGGTTTTTTCTAACTTTTCATGAGAAACACTGGCCTGACTGCAGCAGGTAATATGCAGATAATGGGAAACTACGTATGTTCAAGAGGATTTCTTTAACTTGTACACACCAAGTAAGCAATTCTAGAAGAAGATAGGTTTTATAAGAGCATCACAGACAACTACAAACACCAGTTCATTTAGTGGGCAAGATTCATGGTATATCTTCCTGTTCCAATTGATTAATGTACTTTCAGTGCTACAGGGGTGAAATTTCAAGTTTACTGACACAGGCTGTTCTTTTATTGAAGGTGTATTTAGTAAGAGTTTAAGTATTCACATACACTAATTATTTCCCTAATCAAATGTTGAGCACAACTCTTTTGTGTAAGCACTGATTGCTTAAAGCTCTTTTGAAGCTTTAAAATCTAAACTACCTTCAAAAGTGGTACTGGACTTAGGCATCTCCAGCTTTACTCATGTTCAGTAGTCACAAACACACTTCTGTGGCAAATCCGTTCTCCTTAAACACTTTAAACTCAGTGCACCAAACTGGTGTCTTCTCACCCGATATCAGGTATTTAGACCTTACCAATGAAGTCTCTGAATTTTACAGCTTTGAGTTATCATGACATACACTAAATGAACAATTCCTTCCTATGAAAATCAAAATTCATAGGAACTTCTGCTGGGAAAAATTCCAAATATTGAGTGTGATTTACCTGCCATCTCTTTCCGCCGCCCCACCTTCTGTTACCGTTTTGACAAATATTCCCAGTTTTTCAAGTCCTGCATCTGCTCCAACTCCCATTCCAATAATGCTTATGCCAAGTCCATCTTCATCTGTGAAAAGGGCAAGGGAAAGCAGAAACTTCTTACATTTGATTTGCAGTATTTGGTAGGCAAACATTTATGTTTGGTTTTCAATGTCAATAACATTACAATTTGTTTGCTTCCTTTTAAAAAAACCTATTTTATAACCATTTTAAACGCACACAAAAAACATCAACTTCACCCTTACAGGCAGCTTTTTACTATTCCAGTGGAGAACGAACATACTGCATCAGACACCGTGTAAAATCACGTGTTAGTGGAGCGTCACAAAACAATTCTCTTAGGGAAGTAAGGAACTGCACATGTCTGAGCCGCTTCTTTAATTTCTTATTGAACAATTCCTGAAACCCGAAGAGCCAAGGGGACTACAACAGATTCCTGGAAGTTCAGGGTAGTCTCCACAGCCCGTGTAGACTAACTCAGGCTGTGGCCGAGTGTCCCAGGGACTGGCCATGGCACACAGACCCCGTACCTTTTTCTAGTTCCACCGGGAAGAGCTCCAGCTTTTCCACACGCTTCTCCAGTTCATATTCAGCTGATGCAGCCACTGGGTCGACTTCATCATTTCTCCTGTCGTAGTCTTCATTGGAGTATGTGTTGAAGACCTGCGGAAACAGATCGAAAATCACTCGACTAACTACTCCAAAAAGACTCCTAGCTTGTGAAATAGCTACCGCTTTTGACCTGTCATGTTGCCAGGCTTGAAAAGGCTTTTTAAAAGACAAATTTCTCCTGTTCATTCAAACTTCAAGTTTTTAAATATGCACTTTCTCATTCAAGTAAAGCACACGTATGGTTGCAAAAGTCAACTGAGTGTAAATTACATATTTTTTATTGTTTGCCGTTAGAAATGCATAATGTGATTTTGAATTACTATGTTGGTCTCTATATATCAATATTTAAAATACTTCAATTCATTAAGAATGCCCTACTGGCAAAGACTCACAGACATGAAAAAGCAAAATACATTGAAATAATGATCTATATACAGTCTCTGTTTCAGTCTTTATCTAATGAAGTTCCAGTTTGCATTCATCTCTCCAAAGGTAGACCTGAAGATTACTAATCTGAATTTGCGCTGCCTATGAATAACACTAGCAGTTATGTTCCATATTAACTTTTTTAGAGAAGCAATATACACAACCATGGGTATTTTTTAAACTGATGAGATTTACAGGCTTATTCCAGCTCTAAACCAGTAATTTAACATTTACCGCATTAACCTCATTGTATTATTTATGTTACTCCCTACCATACCTTCAGTATGAACACAGCCTTCATTCAGAGATTATTCAGATCTTCAGGAACTTCAAAACAGTCAGGAGAAGCAAACTTTCATAATTTAGAGGTCAGCCTGCCCACGTTCAGCAGCAATGAAAGGCTACGCATTGTCAATGCTAATAATTTTATTGGACTTCACTCCCACGCATGTATCATATCCACTGCTTCAAATAAAGGAAAACAACCTCCCGTGTCTCCTCCTCCTCTTTTACAGGCACCCTAGAGAAGACACAGTTGTGAGTCCATATTTTTCTCTATCCTACAGCACAAAACTCTGCACCAGGCTACACAGCTACACGTCTATCCAGAGGGTCTTGGGATATCTGCTCTCTTACAGCCTTGCTTGGAGGCTCCTTAGCACATGCCAGGAGCTGGCCTCGCTCCCCTCCGAGGCTTCACCTGCCCCAAAAGCTGTTAGACCCCATTAATTTATTATACGTAATGGATGCATTAATGTTGCAATACAAAAACGCCACTAAATGCTGTCCCATATATAGTAACTGTGTTACAGCTACTGCAAAGCAACTGCAAAAAAACTTCCAGTAGTAGCAGAAACAGAAAAGACATCAGTCACTCTATGGAAATTTTAACTCCTGTATTTTATATCAATGTGAAATACTCAATAAAATACCTGTTCCAAGAAGACCGAGATGATAAATGTTTTACAAGAATCCATAAATCCATCTCATGTTGATTTTTAGTGATATTGATGCAAGAAAAAGACTATTTTAACCAAATCATGTTCCTAAGAAGCCGGTATAAATACATCCAAAATCTAAGTAAAATCAGTCGCACACTAAATGCCGTCCAATGCTGCTGAACATCTCATGCCGCTTTAGTACGTATAAGATCGGTGAAAAGTCACTGAAATAAGCACAGGGAAATGTAACAATTTACACAGCTAAAACAACCTGCAAAATCCCTGCGCAAGTTCTGGCCAAACAACACGCAAATGGAGAAACCACGCGAAGCAGCCAACGCCAGCAAAACAGAGGAGCTCACCTCCAGCTCCTTCCTTAAGCCTCTGTGTGTGGATGCAACAACTGCATTTACATCTAGTATATAAAGCCTTAAATAACACGTTCATTTCTGCTCCTATCGTTAACCTCACCAGGTGTTCGAACTCACCGTCAAAACGAAACCCAACATGTTGGGTGTCTCTGCCTGCGTAACAGCCTCACACAAGAGTTCTGAAGAGTCTTTTTGCTCCACGCTTTTCACAGACATCTTTTATGCAATATAAAGCCTTCTTCACATTATGCACCCCTGACTGCTGCTTCTCAAAACACCTGAAGACAGGCATAATCACAGTTTTCTACGTTGGCCATATCAAGCTGGAAAATAACACGCAGATGTAAAGATGCCAGCCTACGTGTCGTGAACAAGAAGCAGGTCCAGGACAGAAGATCATCCCTTCTGATTGAGATGTACAACTCATGGAAACCATCTCTACTCTGACACAAGCATAGACCAAACCAGTCAGAAGAGCAAGGAAAAGCCCTGCTGCAGGCTGGTGGGCAACCTCCCCCAGCAGCTTCCCTTCTCCACCGTTTGCTGTCAAAGGCAACTACGCCCACTCTATCCAGAGCCAACGTCATTCGTGCTGACACCAAGCGAACCCAGCGTCAATCAGTAGAGCCAGACCCAACTAAAAGGTTACCCAGCGAAGCTTTCACAGGCCTGAAAGGCAGCAGCCATGGAAATAAGCACAGGTTGAAGGCAACAGCTGTGAGCTGAGCTTGGATTAGTCTTATTTAATCAACGTGATGACAGAGACCTGTGTTTCCAGTGTGGAACACAGATGGACGTTGTGGAGACAAACGGAGGTAGAGAGGCTGGCTGCTGAAGGATGGCCAGAGAGGCAAGTAAATATTGCTCGCTGAAACCAAAGAATAGATGAGGGTTAGGCATAGGGAAAAATTATGTGATGAAATTAATGTATCAGTTTCTAGATTCCTTTCTCATTATGTAAATTGGTCAATGACCAGCGTTAGTACCTTGTGGCAGCAGTTTCAGATTTGTCACAAAGTGATCGAATATGCTTCAGGACAATTTTCTTTCAAAGTGTCGAAGCATATATTGAGTTCTTATTTGGGATGATCTTTCTTGAACCAGTCTAGACAAAAGAGACAGTTTCTTGCACCTTGCTCACTGTTTTAGACTATTTAGATTTGCAAACGAGAAGGAAACTAAAGATACTGTTGGTGTTGAATAGAGCGATCATTATGTCTCCAGATGCCACTTTTCTCTAGAATCTAACCTAAGCGTTCAATCCGAGACTGAGAGATCACTGAGGCAACCAAGGAGAAGTAGCCCACATTTCCTACCTGGCATTAACTCTTTGTCTTTTGTACTTTGGCCACACGATCTCGCCCACTGCCTTCAAATTGTGTTTTGAGTAGGGGAAGGAGGATATTCTTCTATGTCACTTAACTTCATTTTGCACAATCACATTTAGCGGTTGACTGATTCTATTGAATGAATCTCTGGGTGTTCAAACGAAGAAAAATTGTGCTTGGTAATTTTCTTCCTTTGTGAAACAGTCTATCCACCACAGTAACGAACTGCTTGCTCAGTACAGTCATGAGAACTGTCACTCAAGATCTTACTTTGCTAAAAATAAAATAAACAGTTATAACTTTTTCCTCAAAGTATGCTTAACTTGATTTAAGCAGACCTACTTCACAACGTCTGCTGCTGCTGTGTTTCCTAGAATGTGTGTGGGATTTCAGACTCATGGGAATTCTCCAGTTCCCTGTGATTTAACAGATTTGGTTTTGCCGTCACACCGGCCAAGTACCCCCTACAACAAAGTCTACTGAGCCATTACTTAAAGAAAGCTCTTTTTTAGGAATATACAATACATCTCCATCATCTCTGGCCATACCTCGCCTAGTACTGAGAAAAAAAAAAAAAATTCCATGGAATTCACCTGTGACATTTCCTAGGACTTACAACAGTGCTCGTAATCCAGCAACAGCAGAAATAAAAAGCCACGAACAGTGGTGACAAGCCAGTGGACACCAAGGCTCAGTGTGCACATCAAACCAGACCAACCCCGAAGAACTGATGGGCTCACTCCAACACTGCTTTTACCAGAACATACTTCTGTCTTCTCTGAAGTGAAAGAAAGTGTCATCAGTGATTCATCCAGCAAAACAATGATGACAAACGGTATGATCAAAGCAGCAGGTACTATTGTCAGGCACCCTGAGTGGCACCCTCAGGGAAGTCATACATACACATACATGAGTACTGCCTTCTCTTTCAGAGAACAGTGACAGCACAATCTAGAAAACACACTCACTAACTATAAAAATGTGGTGCAGACTCTAATTCAGAAAAAAAAAAAGCCAACATATTTTGGTTCTAACATTTCATTTTATGAATAATGAATAATTATTCATATTATGAATAATACATGAAAAGGTTTATAATTTTGGGACACTTTCTCATAGCTCTCAACTACCAAGAATCTTTACAGAATTTTGCTCACAGTAGATAGTGACAACTCTTCTCTTTTTTTTTCTTCTTTTAACGAAGTCAGAATGGAGATGAACTATGAAGAATCACACCGCCAATCCTCCCCATGGGCTAGCCAGCTTGGTGCTACATTAACCACCTCATTAATGTTGAAAATTTGCAACATAAAACCTGTCTCATCTGATGTGTTAAGGAAGTCCTAAACACACCAAGTATATGCTGGATACACCTATTGTATCTTAGCAAGTTCTGCTAAGGAACAAGAATGGATCCCAGGTTCAGTTGCTGCTCGCTGCCTTGCGTGCCTTTAGGCTTAAAGGCTTTTTACCCCTCCAACGACTGATGGCCACTAAAGAAAAGGAACCGTGCAAGAACGGCAAATTGGTGGATGGCACCATGTTGTAAGAGCTGTTCTATCCCGCCTTCAGCTGCTCAAGTCTAACACACACATAAATAGCCTCATTCTACACGCAATTCTTGATTACACCAGGTCGTTCCACGTCAGGGGCCACAGCCAACGTACGCGGGCGATGACTCTGTAACGGCAATGATGAAATCATGCTTTCCACCCACTGTTGCTACTGCTGTCATCACACCTGCCCCTCATGCCTCCGTTCAGAAAGCAAAAACAGCCCCCAAGAGCCAACCCAGCCATCTGGGCGAGGTGGATCACCGCGCCGAGGAAAGCAGCACTGCAAAAAAACGGCACAAAAGCTTAGAGTGTATGTTTGCCAGCACTTTGTGCCTCTGGCACCCGCTCTGGGGAGAGGGGGGAGGCATCATGGCCAACCTCACATCACAGCTACTCCATTGCCATAATGATGCCATGTAAGACCAATGAACTACTGCTTTTCTATCTGTCTACTTCTTCTTTGCCCTTCAACACCATCCTTGTGCAAGAACAACCAAAGACACTTATCAGACGCACATCCTGTGCCGTTATGGAGAACTGAGATTTTCAGGTACGTTTTCAGGCATAAAAAGCAATGCTATTAGCCTTGGGATAATCCAAAATCCTCTCCTTTTTTCACAGCTACCATTTTCAGACCAAAGCCAGAATCTAGGTTTCCTGGGTCCTGTGTGGAGCCATAGTTCCAGAAACAGCAGCACATACCATAAAGGGCCTGAACGTGGCTTTCCAAAGGAACACCTGATGCTCACTGCTTTAGTGCGTGAGGCTTGCTTTAGTACATATGACAAGCTCCATCAGAGTGATAATTGGTATTATTATCCTTTCTGTGTGCCATTTTAGAAACTTAAAAAATTTGGAACAGCTTTGTTGATGCCTTCTTTGCAGACAGCAGCAGCAACTGAATGGGTCATCTTTCCGTATGTCCTGGTGAGGAGCCCTGAGAAAGACCAGATCTTCCTCTGGCCATACATCATTACTGAGCAAACATCCAACACAGGAAGGTGAATAATTACAGAACTACCTTTTAGCTTTATCTTTTTATACCTCATCTCCAGGGTGTGCTGTGTATTTGCTGGACGAAGTCACAGAAGGTTCTCCCACGTGGAAGAAACAAAACTTGGCACAGACCCTGCCTGTATTTGGAGAGCATGGACCTTAGAGCACAAACTTTGATCCTTCCTATCACCCATTTTCTTCTCCAAGTGAATAAAACTGTTTATCCTGCACTGACACTGGGAGAAAAAAGAAATGTGCAAACACTAGAGGGAACTAATCAACCTGACACCCATGGATGAACCCTTTGGCAACCTTAATTGTAATGACAGTCGTAACAATTTCCTTTGGCTGGTTCTGCCACATACATCCTGCTGACTTCGGGAAAGATGAAAACCCAAAGGTTGTGTTTCATGTAGACATGGAAGGAAATAATAAACATTTTGTATCAGATGCACTATTAATAATTACAGCAACAGCTGCAATTTCAGACAAGTTTTGTTGTGATTGTTAGCAAGAATCCAAGTAAGGAAACTAAGTATGTCATTTGTGCACAGGACATTCAGAAAAACATGGCAAGTCACGGGTCCCACCGCCAGTACTTTCTCAGTCTGCAGAAGTCTTTAAGTGTAGAACAGCTTGCCATAGCAGCTCCCTACCCTCTGTGAGAAGGAACAGGCACATCTGCAGGGTAGCTGCCAATTTCTTCAGAGCAGTTTTACAACCATCTCTGGTTCTGAATGTACTAAACTGGACTTCTGGGCTTCCTCCACTACGGATGAAAAACACTGTCGTGGGGAGGGAAGTGAGAAGGAGCACCACAGGGAGGGTCAGAGACATGACACCGACCTGTGGTGCTGCAGGAGGCAGGCACAGGGCACAGCTCCGAGGAGAACCTCTCTAGCTGTGCTCAAGAAGCTAAAGGAGAGGGGAAAAAAAAGGTCACTATTTGACCGTTTGTTATCCTCTGCTTGAAAGTGTCTCTACGGAACAGCTTTCAGGAGGAGAGGAAGCTCTGACAATACCTAAAACAGGTGACTTCTTTTTCAAAGAGTCTTTTCTCTGCAACGTGGTCGCTTTGTCGCAAAGGCAGTGAGTCAGTGAGGAGGAGTCACCGCAGGCTTCCTCCAGCTTTGCTGGCTTTGCGCTCCCCTAAAGCCTGCGTGGGCATCAGCTGTCACTAACGCTTCAGCAGGGAAGCACGAAGGAGACAAATCTTCCCCAGACTCAGTTGCGGGGAGGAGACACAGATGGGAACGAGACAGTTGCAATATTGAAAGAAACTTATTGTCTAACACCAAAACCAAGCCTGGGGTTTCCCTCAGCAAGCTCTGTAGGA